TAGTCTCTGACTAACATTTAATTTAAGCCATGAAATAAACTTCTTTCCATAAAATAAGGATAATGAACTATACAAAAAGCATTTCAAACATCTCCAGCATGCTTTTTAATTACCCAAACATAGCTCCCCTTTATGCATGTTATCATGTCTATCAAAGACGTTATGTTTAGACATAAGAACATCAACACAACACTCTCATGGGCATCAGTCACCTCACTTAATACTTTATGGTTAAGAAATAATTAATTATTACCTTATGACCCATCTGTTCTTAAATCCACCTCCTCTGAATATCACAAATCGATGTCTGTCAAAAAATAACATGCACAATACACTGTAGTATTTACGAGAAGCAGAGGTCCAGGGAGTATGTGCATTTTTTAGAAAACCCACAATAGCGGATGATTTGACCACGTCATTGCTTTCCAAGAAGGAGAAAATGATGGCCTGAGTGGCTTTAACATGCTGTCTGTCAAAGTCGAAAGAAAGAAAGAAAGAAAGAAAGAAAGAAAGAAAGACATTTTATGAATTCAATTAAGCAGACAAGTTTTTTTATTGATAATTAAAATATTATTAAACCATTAAAATGGAATTCTGGAAAATTCAAATAGAAAACACAGAATTTGGGGAAAAAGGTATTTCATAGGACCCTAAAAATGTTATTTTTGATAAAAAAAATAAATTAATTAATAAAATGTTAAATTGTATGTTTCATAATATCAATTAGTTAGACCTGCTTTTTGATAACTAAAATTTGATTTAATCATTAAAACAGAGTCCAGAAATATTACAACAGTTAAGAAAAAAAAAGAAAAAGAAAAAACGGAAACCAGAAAATTTAAAATGGAGCAAACGAAATTTGTAAAAAAAAAATAATAATAAAATGGAATGTGGGGGGAAAAAATTAAATGTATTTCATAGGCCCGTAATTATTCTAATTGTTAGTTCTTAGTTAGTTTGGTAAGATACTTTGTATAACATACTGTAGTGTTCCGTTTGCATTTAACTTAAAACTGTGTAAATATCAAAAAAGACCTGCTCTTTTACTGGACTACAGAAACCTACTGCCTTGTTTCAGTGGCATTCTAATAAGATCGAAAGGGGTCAAAGACAGGCATGCAGGAGGGCTCAACGCCCCTCTACATGTGTTGCATTTATCTTAAGAAAGGAATGCAATAAAAGAGAGCTTCTGTTTATTACAGAGAAAGGAACAGGAGGGAGGAACAGAGGGGACATTGAATCGTGGGATAATGCAGTGGTTATATCAATGTCTTTCTGATAAACTAATGGCCACTCTCCCAGAATGGAATCCCACAATTAGACCTCCAGATAAAATATATAAAAATACATGTGTGAGCAGTGAGGCATGCTTGGCGGAAAAGATCATCTCAGAGGTCAAATGTCAAATGCGACTGAGAAGGACGAGGGCATTACTATCGCAAAACTGCTCACTTACAGATAAAATTCACTCACACACACAAGTGATTTTTCACTATTATTTACAACAGGATCTGCAAATGCATGGGTTTAAATAAAAGATTCCTGTTATAAGAGACAACTAAAACAAAGTAGTGCATCAAAACCACATGTCAGTCACATGTTAGTCTCTGACTAACATTTAATTTAAGCCATGAAATAAACTTCTTTCCATAAAATAAGGATAATGAACTATACAAAAAGCATTTCAAACATCTCCAGCATGCTTTTTAATTACCCAAACATAGCTCCCCTTTATGCATGTTATCATGTCTATCAAAGACGTTATGTTTAGACATAAGAACATCAACACAACACTCTCATGGGCATCAGTCACCTCACTTAATACTTTATGGTTAAGAAATAATTAATTATTACCTTATGACCCATCTGTTCTTAAATCCACCTCCTCTGAATATCACAAATCGATGTCTGTCAAAAAATAACATGCACAATACACTGTAGTATTTACGAGAAGCAGAGGTCCAGGGAGTATGTGCATTTTTTAGAAAACCCACAATAGCGGATGATTTGACCACGTCATTGCTTTCCAAGAAGGAGAAAATGATGGCCTGAGTGGCTTTAACATGCTGTCTGTCAAAGTCGATAATGTGCATAATACATAATACTCGCTGAAATCAGAATGATCAGGAAATAAGTCAAATACTTCACACATGCAAAGAGAATAATCAATTCAGTTGATTTGAAACATTGTTCAACATTTGTTTCTTTTTTTATACATGAAATTTCATATTTCATATTTCGATATTTGCTAACAGTGAACTATGTGTTTTCAGTAACAATCTACAATAAGTTTCCATTTGTTAACATAGTTAACTACATTGGCTAATAGAAAAAAAAATCTTCTAAAGCATTTATTTATCTTACTTAATGTTTATTTCAAAATTTACTAATACACTAAATCCAAAGTTGTATGTGTTCATATTTAACTATCCTGAGCTGACATGAACTACCAATGTTTTTTATTAACTAATGTTAACAAATGTTAATAAATACTGTAACAAATGTGGCCATCATTGCTAATTAATGTTAATGCATTAACATTGACTAAAGGGACCTTTCTGTAAAGCGTTACTGTTTTCTTATATTAAGGTTCAGCACTTTATTTTAACAGTGCTGTTCTGCATGTAGACTACCGTATATACTTATTAACGTAATTACAATAACTAGGGAATTACCAGGTACTAATCCTGAACCTACCCCTAAACCAATCTTAACCGTGCAGTTGCCTTATATTACCCAGTACTTACACTGTAATTACAAGTAAGTGCATGTAATGTAAAATAAAGTTCAACCACATGCACACAAAATTCATAATCTTCAAGAGTCCTTGAGTATATCCTTTGGACTTACTGCAAACAAAGCTGTGATTGCAAATCACTTTGTGGCTTCGTCCTTATGCAATTTTATTTATATTTTGTCACTAAGTGTGTTGCAACAGTATCAAATGCATTATTCTGAATGCTGCTAGGTGAAACGCCAAGCTGACTCATGTGTCCAGAACATCTTGTAAACTACAAACACAAAATCACCAAATGAGAAGCAGATGCCCACATGCGTGTTCAAACACACACACACACACACACACACACACACACACACACACACAATATAAAACTATATAAATCCAAAACACACACACACACACACACACACACACACAATATAATCCTATAAAGGTCCAAACGTTGCACAACTCTGGAGTCAGTCCAGTTGCAACATGTGTGTACAATTAATATGTAAAGGGGAAATACTACTTCCCCTGGGAGATACCTGCTTACAACACACAATCATTCTTGTGTTTGTAAAGGAAATCCCTCTAAAAACACAACCTCATGCACACCGTAGCCTACATTTGCATTGTGGAGCTCATACAGCAGAAGCTTCCAAAAACCCAAAAGATGACCGGCAAAATATATCGTTTTGACTAGCAGCATTGACAAAAACAGACCAGTTGCTTACACTCTTAAAAACAGATTATTCATTGGCATTTATCCATGAAGATCCTTCAACATTCATATTGCGCAAAAGGGTTCTTAATAGTGGCAAAGGTTCTTTAGAAATTTAAAATGTTCTTCAAATGTTTCTTTTAAGAATTGTTCACTGGAAGGTTCTTTTTGGAACCAGACATTTGGAACCTTCTTTGGCATCGCTGTGAAAACCCATTTCTTGGAACCTTTATTTTTAGTTTTTAGATCAGATTTTCAGACTTTTTTCACCTCTTTATTGGATAGTAGGGACAGGAAATTACTAGAGAGACTATTGGGAATTTAGCATATACAGCCTGTTTATGGAAAATTACAGTTCGGTGATCATGCATGAACAGGACATTTTGAAAAATACCAATTAATCAGTTCTGCCAAATTTCAGGGAGGAGAAGTTGTAACCTAACTGGTAAATTACCGGTAAACAAATGCACAAAATTACATAAAAGCGCATAAAAGGTCAGGATGCACTAGTGTAAGAAGTCTGCTTTGGGCCTACCATAAAGATCTGATGGAGGTGATGTGATTACTCCTCACTGTTTGCAGTAACATTGTCACTCGGAAGTCAAAAGAAAAGTTGTTAAACTGGACAGAGAAAGAAACTAAAGAGATTCTTCTCATCCAGGCAGATACATAAAATGGTGCAGTGCATTTAAAGGTCATTTTCTATGACTGACACCACAGAGTTTACCAATATTTTGTTGCTGATTTGTGAATGCCATTGCTTGCATGAACAGTAGATATGCTATAATTACCAAAAAAGGTAAATCCAGAATTTTTACAGTAATACTACTATATCTTAACGAATCAAAGCAGGTTATGGCTGTAGCATGCCAAGAGAAAATATGCAAAGCACTGCATGACAGCTTTGAAAGACTAAAAGAATATTTATAATCAAGCTGCAGTTAAAATACTATCAGAAAATCCTTTTTAAAAGCTATTATTTGTTGCAGCTTGCCATTTCCATAAATGCATCACCAAGCAAGTCTAATGCAAGAAAGCCAGCTACAGACACTGACACGTTTTCATGCATTATAAAAAGGTGAGTACTAACAATAGGAATTAGGAACATGGTGTAGAAAATGGTACATAAAAATAGTCCTCTTCTCATTTGCAATGTCAAAATGATTAGTTAGTTTTTAATGTTCACAAAAATTCACATCAATTTCTGATAATTCTATAACCTAGATGGTTTCTGGATTTTTCTTAGTCGGGGCTCCAACAATGTGCAATAATGTGATTTTTGTGGCTGTTTGTAAGAACTTTCTTAACCTTTTTCACCTGAAGCCCTGTGGGTTTAGCGATAACTTGCATATGGAGGAAAAGGACAATCTTAAGTCTCTACTGAAGTCTTTGTGTCATTTTAAATGAGCACCCCACCATTTTTCCAAGAAACAGGTTTCTGAAAATCCAGGCCTCTCTAATAGGACTGTCCTTACAAATACTGCATTATTTATTTGGATAAACTAGTCTGCAAAACACAATTTTTGTTATCCACAGAGGTGTATTGCTGCTTACCTGTTGGTGCATCAGTGATCCCATCCTGGCCATCTTTTGAGAGTTGTGAATTTGCTTTAAACGTGTTAATGTCTCTTGTATGTGCAAGTACTGTACTGTTCAGCTGATGGACGCAAGTCCACAAGCCATTGACGTGTTTGTTCAGTCCATCTTTAATCCGTTTCAGACTGTCTGACATTGGCTCAAATCGACCACAAACGCCTTCAATGCTAGCCACGCGTCCATCAAGTCCATCAAGCAAGCCCTTCATTGTCCTCACTTGCTCTTGGCTTCGCCCAGAATCCACCTCTAGATTTTCCACCCGTTGCAGGAGGGTTTCAAAACTCATGGTCTGATTGAGATCTTCCTTAAGAGAGCCAACCTTGTCCTGCAGGAGCTGTGCATGTTTCTCCAAGACTTCCAGGCGCTCATCAAGACCAAAGAGTAGCTGAGAAGTGCTGTTGTCACATTGAACACCACTGATCTTCTCTTCGAAAGCTATTCTTTGGTCTTCCTCTTCCTTAAATCTTTCCCTTCTCAGTTTCTCCTCAAGATAGAGGCAATGCACCTCTGTGCTCTTTTCTGCAAGACTAACCCTTGCCTCCAGAGCGTTCCCTTGTGCATTTATCTGTGCAATGGTGGCATTGTGCTCCCTAATGGTGTTTTGGAGTATCTGTTGGGTGTCCTTAAGCTTCTGGACCTCAGCATTGTCCAACTCTTGGGGTTTTCCAATTGGAAGCTGGAGACGCAAGTCTTGGATCTCTTTGCGGAGTTCAGTCTCTTTGGAGTCAAGGAGCTCGGCCAGGCTCAAGTAAGAGGTTTCTTGTTCCTCACACTGTTCTTGAACAGACAGCACTTTGTAGTCGCATGCATTCTTCATGTCTGCTATTTTGATGTCCATTCCTTGAAGAAGCTCCTCACGAAGGGCTGAAAGATTTTCATCGATGTATGCTTGACATGGACACTCATTGGTTGCAGCTGTTGAGGAAGGCTGAAGCGGTCCAGTGTTGCTTGCTTCTGTTAATCGATGCATCTGTCCATCAATGTTCTGGATCCTCATCTGCAGATCTTGGATGCTATTAGTGTTGGTACCGATGGTGTTGGAGAGCTGGGTAATGTGGTTCTGGAGTTCATCAGTGCCTGGTGATGAACGGAGGTCATATGGGAGCGTAATGCTCTCGATTCCACCCGCTTTGACATCCTGTGGCTGTTGCAAATTCCCCAACATGTTTAGAACGAATTTGGTAACATCTTCCTGTAAATCTAGCCGTAGGTTCGCATTGGCAGAAGTCATGGCTTGCAGGCCGAGTACAGTCTGAGAAAGACGCTCCACTTCTTCTTCTAATGCCTGAACTCGTTGACTCTCGTGTTGACGATCTCCATAATCTCCCAGTTGATGGCTATGATGTCCTTTCTGCCCGGGTTGAGACCATGGATGTGTCTCGGAGAACACTTCTGGTCCTAGAACAACCAAAATCAATTGTACTTGTTTCACAGTAACTCGACAAAAGAAAAAAATAACAGTCTGCATCGATTTTCTTTCATTTTATGACAACTTCTAATGAAACGACGTTCAACCATTGAACTACATTGAGTTAAAGAAACAACTTGTAGCATAAACACATTTTTAAGATGATTACTCAATTTTTTATTGTAACTAATTTCAACATAATTGAGTTGTGGCCCTATTTCAGCTATAACATCTAGCATAGCACATGCTAGTTTATTATTTAGAATTTAATTTCAGAGTGTACTAATCCAGATCAAATATTGCTTATTTCACTTTTCCAAATGAAGTGTTCATTTGCAAAAACCGATAAATGCCACTTTGAAAAAAGTGAGCTGATTGCCGTGCATTATTCTCCACATATAGCGTGATCTGAACCCTAAACACGTTTTGTCAAAAAACATGGTTTTGTCCACTTTCAAGGCATCGCGAGTTCACGTTTTACTACAGAAGCCAACAAGCACCCTTGTTGTTTTTGAACAGAAGCCAATAAAGTCCATTTTAGCGAATCAGCACACTGTCAGGTCAGGTGACAAGGCTACTTTCACTTTGAAAAGACGTGCTAGCTGAGAGGAGTTTCGTCAAAGCTGACTAAAAGTGATCGAGGATGGATAATTTCGACGAACTTGATGAATCTGTGATATCTTCTTCAGGGCGAAAAAGGAAAATAAAAGCTGAAACGTTTTCAACCGTGCAAAAGCCATGCAAAAGCAGCATGTTACAATGTTGAGGGAAAAGCTCTGTGTATTGCGTGTAATCACATTGATTGATATTACTTGGAATGCGCAATAAAAAAGAATTATCGGTTATAAGTTATCGGTTTTTGCAAATGAACTCTTCAAATATAAGGTCATTTTAAAACATTTACCCAAGATGCTCTGTTGTTGGCTGCTGGTTGAGGGAACATCTCGACGTGGTTCCTCAACAACATTGGGTTTCTGAGGGGTATTTTTCAGCTCAGTACAGTCATGACCTTGATATCCTGGACAGCACCTCCATTCCAGTTCAGTCACTTGTTTGTAGCCTATTTTGTACATGGGCCTCATGTGAGTATGATATCTAGAAAGACAGTTATGGATTAGGATGTTACAAGCAGATCTCTGACCATAGTTTTAGATGGGACACAAACTACAAACTTAAAGTTTGCATTTGACAGTTGATACAATACACTGTTTTGGCCTCAGATTCCTAGCCACTTTACTATAACTAACATAAAAAATGAACTGTCACAAATTTGTCCCACTGCAAGGGTTGTGGGGAATATTAGCCAAAAAAGCATACACAGATGCACTGCATTTAGTGAGACACTAGTTGTCCTAAACTCATGCCACTGATTGGCATAGAAGAGTGTCCAGGTTAATAATAAAAAAAAGGAAAAATAAAAAAAAAAATCAGACCCACTTCATATCACGGGTCTTAAACTACTACGTACAAACATTTTAGTAAATACTTTGATATGATGCTGTGTACAAACATGTTTTCACGTTATACATTCTATTTTTGCAATGCAACATGAAAACAGTAAGTAACGATTTGTTTTCTGGTACATAAAGACACCTAATAAAGTGGGAACAATTTAATTTAAGCTTTAACTACCACATTATAGCGAAAGACCACTTATCCTGGATGTTTGCTGCATGTTTCAGAAGAAGCAAAGTGACAACATTCTTCGCCTAATCACTCTGTCCACAAAAGAAAGCATTCCTGTTTTCATGAGCCATGCAAAGTGCAGAATTACGCACATCATTTATTAGGATTTACTCCAGCAGTGACACACATCTGGAGTGCAGCTTTAAAAGCAGGCGATGTGCACGAACATGTGTGACTGACTTTCTAATTGCAGCATTTCTGAAAAGTTCTCACGGATTCTGGACAATTTACACAGGCTACAACAGACTGTTCAGTGTGGCCCCTGGCCCTTCAGAGGTCGTAAATAATTTGGAGACTGATAAAGCAATGACCTGCCAGTCAATGGGTCCAATTTAACAGCGCTGCATATCCTTCAGAGAGCAATTCCACTTCAATCCAGTTCTGATCTCATCTAATCTGATCTCTGGTCACTTCCACCAATAAAAATGTCCATGCAACCCCCGGCCACTGCATGCGCTCTCCAGAGACACTTACATGAGCCGCTGTGTGCAGTCGGGCTGATTCGGCGGACAGGGCAGGAGCTGCGGCTCCATGACTTTTTCGTTCGCCGCCAGCACAGCGCATGTCACGTTCTTATGCACTACAAAAGCACACCAGTTTCTGCAAAAGAGTGAAGAACAATGAAAAAATACACTGTAAAAATAAAATCTACTTTAAGGCAGCAACTGAAATTTGCTGTACAAATAATTTGCAGTAGCACTTTAAATTAGGGAACACTAATCACTAATAACTAGTTGCTAATTAGAGTGCACATTACTAGTACACTGGCTGTTTATTAGTACTTAGAAAGCACGTATTTATGCATGACCATATTTTAGATCCCTTGACCCTACCTATATCTAAACGTAACTACCTTACTTACTATCAGTAAGGAGTTTATTGAGGGAAAACTCTTAATAGTGAACACGTGTTGTCTAATCTAAAGTGTTACCATAATTTCAATTTCAATTATATTAAACTGACTTAAAAAAAAAGAGAGTTGAATCTCATATAACTTAAAAAATGAAGTTGAAATTGGTTAAATTAATTTGAATTGTTAAAGTAATGGAAAAACATATGCTGACTTATTACTGTACACCCAAGAAAAGACCCAGCTAACATGAAATGTTCTCAGAAGCTTTTCCATAAGCGCCACCTGCTGTCAGCGAGTGGATTTAAAGAGACTTATAATTACATTCAGCCTGTGTGCAGTTTCTGTTTGGCCAAAAAACTGACCGAATTTGCATGCCCTGCTGTAAATTTTGACCGGTTGATGAAAAACAAGCTTATGTGGATTCTACACATTTAAACAATTCAGATAAGTTATCTAGAATTATTTATGGAGCAGATAAAATACATATAGGGCAGGAGCTGCGGCTCCATGACTTTTTCGTTCGCCGCCAGCACAGCGCATGTCACGTTCTTATGCACTACAAAAGCACACCAGTTTCTGCAAAAGAGTGAAGAACAGTGAAAACACATTTATACTCTACATTCAAGTAGGGATGTAGCGATTACCGGTTTGACGATAAATCGTGATAAAATTCCCCACGGTTAGTATTACCGTTTCATCTTTTAATTATCATGACCATATTCTACATCCCTAATCCTACTACACAACACCTAAACTTAACAACTACCTTACTATCTATTAATAAGCAGCAAATTAAGAGGCAAAAGTTGTAGTTAATAGTTTGTTAATAGCGAGAATTGGACCTTAAAATAAAGTGTGACCAAAAGTTCTATTTGGCTAACGTTCTCTGAAAGTTACAAACGTTTGAAGAATGTTTGTATAAAGTTTTCTGAGCAAGCACAAAAACGTTATTTAAGCCGTTCGTGGAATGTTTTTGTAACATTTTAGCTGGACATTCATCGAATGTTTAAATGTTTTTAAAATGTTACGTTTTTAAATGTAACTACTTGTTTCAGAATGTTCAGAGAACATTCCAAAGTAACATTCCCAAAAGTATTTATTAATTACTATTAATTAGATAAATAAAAATGAATTATTATTGTATATGTATCATTATTGTTTTATTTTTCTCTCTTTTTGAATATTGGCATGTTTTGTACAACGAGGAAAGCTCTAGCCACTCCCACTGATTAACCAGCTGTCTTTGATTGCTTACTAATTGTTTAAGAATAATTGCTGTGTAACCTGAAGCTGAAACGCGTACTCGAATGATTTAGCCCAGTTAATTAAAGGCTTTTTATTTGTACTACACCAGTGCCTTGGAGTATTTCATCTTCTCAGTTTAACGTTCCCAAAATGTTTTTGAAATGTTTCGAACATTCCAAAATAACATTTTCTTAACTTAAATGGAACATTAGCACAGTGTTCTTTGAACATATTTTCGTTAGGTGGGTAATATTACCCAATCATTCATAAGGAATTACTAATTACTTGGAAAAGCATGATAACTCCCTAGTAAAGCCTGAAATCATTGTAAGCTTTTGAGGTTTTGGATGGACGATAATTCCTTCTGACAGATTTAGTAGCACTAATTTATAGTGGGTTACTATGAACCTTGCCTTTAAGAAAAGTCTGTAAAAGCAGAGTTTTCCATATTGATTTTTCTCTGGTGTTGTATCCCTATTTTGAATTATGCATTGCATTGTTGTTTTATGATTAAAGGAATGTCTGTAAATGTTATCGGATAATGTCCTGGCAGAAAATAACCAGTGCCTTTTCTGTTTTTCTGTGCTTTTTTGTTTCTTACAGTTCCAAATGGCTAGTAATTCCTTTAGAAGGATGTAGTAACTAACACTTATGTCATTACTAGTGGGCTATCATGATACAAAATTAATGAAAACCTAATCCTACAGAATCTTCTAATCATCCATAATAGTGTAGAGAAACACTGAGAAATTATATATTTCTTGGAGGCATGTTAATTAAATAAATCGCTGCAAGGGTTGCAACTGTTTTGGCATTTGGGATGGCGGAAGACTCCACATGTTCCTGAGGTCTACATGAATCAATAGTGATTCAGTGAGAAAATGTCCTAGTCTTCTCCTGCAGTAATAACCTAAATAATAATAGGCCAACAAAAAAGGTACAGCTCAGAGGGATACTGGGGAAAAAGCTCTAGAAAACTGCATTTAAAAACCATTTCTTCAGAATTATCCATAGTTAGTAAATACTTCTCTAGTATGAAAGATAACGTTGACTACTAGGTAAAAATTATTTGCCCAAATCATAAGTCGGCTATTACGTATCATGCAAACGATTCATTGACAGGTTAAAATAGTTAAGTGTCCTGCATTAGATTAGTTGTGCATTAATTATTAAAGTGCATGTAGTTCTGGTTACAGTGCAACTATACATTTAAGTACTGAGTATTATTTAACAAGCACTTACTAAGGTTTAGGTTTATGCATGTAATTATAGCCAATTCACTGTTATTACTGCATGTAACGTGTAACACGAACACTGTAAAGCTTTACCTAATATCTTAGCAGCTCTCAGGAAGGCATGGAAACCTGCATTCAACTACTAATTCGTTCATCTGTTTCTTGTTAGTTAAACAGAAGTTGAATGACTGTGTTTCAACCAATCAGAATCAGAATGAGCTTTATTGCCAGATATGTTTACACATAGCGAGGGGTTTGACACCAATGTGTCAAGTTTCTTTACAATATCGGGACAAGTAATGAAAAAGCCAAGAGATGTGCTCTGTCCAGTTTAAATGGCAATATTATTAATAACAGGCCTATATATTAATACATATAACTCTCAAAATCACATTTTACCCGAGATGCCCCGTTGTTGGTTTTTTTCCTTCTCCAATGCCAACTCCATAATAGGAAGGACACTTACTTGTTCCGTTGTCTCGAAGCAGAGCTGGAATAAGGACTGCCCTGGAACAGACTATACCTCGACGGAGTGCCATCAGTCAAAGGAAAGGTCATGAGAATAATAAATATAAGCGCTGCGTAACCTGCGAGGAAGCGCTTCATCTCTAATCACCCAACCAGACTCAGCGTCCACCTTATCCGAGCTTTTATAAAAAGCTCGCACAGAGTGCTTTTTTTTTTTTTTGTAAGTTTCTTGACAGGGTGATGATGGGACAAGAGTCTGCAAGAGCCCCCGCCCCAATGAGCGCTTCCTACTGGACTGCGCGCGGGATCAGGGTCCCAACTCCATTAGTGCTCTCCACTGATTATTACGCTCTGCTTTAGACGTGCTTATAGTTACGCCATTTCTTTAAAAAGGATGCCATCTGTTAAGAATCTGGTAATAAAAAAATAAAATAAAAAATCCTGAGAATATTAACCCCTTAAGTGTCCCCCCCCCCCCCTTAAATTTAAACTTAAATTGTTATAATTCACGAACGCTTTGGAACACAGACCTAAGGTTGGACTCTTTTTTTTAAAGACATTTGGAATCATTTCAAAATATTAAAGTATCAAAAATTATAGAAGTTTACATTTACTGTAAAGAAAATGCACTGTACCAATTTTTATTTTATATAAAATATTTTACTAAATATTTTAAATACAAAATTGCTATCAAATTAAAGCTTTATGTCTAAGTAAGTTATGTTCCAAATTTGAAGTTGATATCAAAAACTGCGAATTTTTATTTAGAGCGTTATACCACAAACAGCCACCGGGTGCATCCAAACGTCGTTAATTTTATTTTATTTTTTTGCAATTTTCTGTCACAACTGTCTAAATTTCTCTGTCAATATTACTTCTATCTCAAAATAACCACCAAATATGGAATCTTGAGATTTCTGACGATTGTATTTTGTCAAGATTATAAAAAGTTTTGATTCTAAAAGACCGTAATATGATACTTGACTCCACCCACTAAGGGGGAGGAGTACCATTTCCATGGTAACGCAATGTCCGATTTCAAAATGGCTTCCACAGGATACATTTGTGAGGTTCTAAGCTTTTAAATGAAATGTTATTTATGATGATTACTCAAATATGTGAAAAATGAAAAAAAGAGCACCAAGCAGCCCACAGGTGAGCCGGTGACACTTAATGGGGTTAAAGAACCAATCCTTGTAACGCTTTAGTTTAGGGACCCATTCTCACTATTAGTTGCTTATTAACATGCAAATTAGTAGCATACTGGCTGTTAATTATTACTTATTATAAAGCAGATATTAATGCCTTATTCTGTACGACTATATTCTAGATCCCTTAATCCTACCCCATACCTAAACTACCTTAGTACTAATAAAGCAGTAATAAGAGTCTATTGAGGCGAAAGTCATAGTTAATAGTGAGAGTTGGTCCCCAAACTTAAGTGTGACCCCAATCCTAAATGGCCCAAATGGAAATTTTCTTGAAGCACTTCAATTACAAAATAAAAACTTGACATTATTACAATACAAATAGATTTTCTTGAGTCAAAATATCCTTTAGAAGTGCAAGCTTATATCGAGTGCATCTTATTAAAGCAATATTTTTATGACTGGTTTCAAATCATGAGCGATTCTATCTTCTTAAGATTCTGGAGACTTCGTGAAACATTTAAGTAATTTTGAAAAAACATCTGATACAACACAGGACATTTAAGTCATCAAGTAATAGAAACCTATGCACAAATATATAGGGCTAACATTTGGTGTCGACCACTCATTTTGCGGATTATTAATGCATATTATATAATACCCTTAAAAGCTTTACCAACACATGAAACTCTTATTATACAGCATACTATGTACTACAAAAATATGCCGAAGTTGAGCTTTTGTGTAAAGCAAGTTACTTGACTTCAACAAATCAAAACATTTATTTTATAATTTTTCCATATAGCACTCTATATGCCAAAGCTGCGTGAATAACATTTTTAAACTACAAAAAATAGTTTATTATAGGAACAAAAATGCAAACAAAATTAAGCAAAGAAGACAAAAGGACATCAGTTTGTTATGGTAATGAATAGCTGTCATGCTGAAAAATAAGTTGGATAAATTAATAAATTATTTCCCATATTAGATCACTATAATAGTCCACTTGAAGGAGTGAATGAAAACGATTAGTGAATTTAGACACTTGAGTGGAAAAGTGCAATCAATGTCCACTATGGTGCATGGTGTGTATGGTTTAATGGAGTATCTGTTGAAATGCTATTGTAAGCTGTATGCATCCACTACAATGTATGCTTGCAAAAACCAAAGTATACACTGAACTTTCTAAACACATGATGAGAAAACAATACCACTTGAATAGAGCTCCAGTGAAAGTGTGACTGCTGGAAGGTTTGCTGAATAAAAAATAAAAAAGACAAGACCTGATGCAAGTGTAAAAACGTTTTTTTTTCCCTCAAAGAAAGATACAAAATATATTATGGACACAGTCCAATTATTTAACTTTTTTTTTTGCTTTCTGCTTCAATCAGACAAGTCATAATCTGTAAAGAGTGAACAAAAAAAGGATTTGCAAATTAACATAAAATATTTTTTGACACTGATTAACCTAATAAAAAAGCACTGCATCAGCTGTCAGCTCGTGCAACTTCATGAATCTGCAGAAACAAAACAACAACAAACTATTAACTTCAGTGAAAAAGCAACAGACAAGTCAGAAAAAAACTGTGGAATAGCAAACACTTCAGAGGACTGTTGATGTACCCAGTTTGCGTGTTTTGCGCCGGGATCTTTTAGAAGGGACTGAGGGCTCGGGCGTTTCTGGCTCAAGGATCCTTTTCACTCTTACAGCGTACAGTCGTGTAGGAGTGCTGGCTGCAAACACACACACACACACACACACACATTTCAATTCTTGTCAGTATTCACCAATCACAGAAAGGATAGAGTGAAAAAACAGTTAAGAAACTTGACTATCATTCCTACTAGGGATTTGAAGAGTCCCAGATTCACATCAGTGCATTGGAATAAAGATTAACGATAAGATGCATCGATTTTTTTATAGTATTTTATATGTAGATTGATTTCTCCTCTCTAAACATTAACATTAATATGGCAGAGGTAGAGCTGCATCTTCCACCAAATAATTACAACGAACCAAAGAAATAAAAGTGAACTATCTGTACCATATTGAATTGCATAGCATATTTTTTCTATTGCATTTTATTGCATTGAATCGCATTGTGTTGAATCGAATCGAAATCGGATCGCACTGCATCGTAATGGGCTCGCATCGCATCGGAAGCGGCTTCATATCCTCCTGACACTCAGAAAAAAAAGCTTTGCGAATTTAGTATTTTTTCATTACATTGTATAGAGCATAAGAAAAAAATGGAAAACTAACATTTTTGAAAAATGATATTTTATTCATATGTTATGTTATGTCCTCTGTAGAGGACACCAGGCCTCAATTTTTCTAAAAAAAATAAAATGACATGAATAAACATGAAAAGGCAAAAACAATATTTATATATTTTTTTTAAATCACGAATAAATTTTTAGGTTTCAGGATTTTTTTATACCAAATTTTGTTTGAGGATGATTCTCAACTATGTTATTAAATATATAACAGAATGATTTGATATACCATTTTGCTTTATGCAATGTGTGTGTAAAATTTCCATAAACTTGTTTTCCCATTAAAGGGGTCATATGATGCGATTTCAAGTTTTCCTTTCTCTTTGGAGTGTTACAAGCTGTTCGTGAATAGATAAGATACACAATGTTATCTATACACTGTATCTAATTTGCATATTAATGTGTGCTGTTGGGACAGCACATTGAAAAAAGAAGTGTAATAATGATACTAATAATTGCCCAGATTGTCATAATATCTAATATTTCATAGGAATATTGATATATAATTTATTTTCCTATTCAATTGTTTTGTCTCCCAAAACGTGTAACAAACAAGCTTTTAGTCTGGTGTCCTCTACAGTGGACATGTATGATGTCCTGTTTCATAACAGAAAGTCATATTTTGATTTGAAACCCCATAACATTTTCCTGAGATGTTGATTTACGACAAACAATTTGAAAATTAATCATGATAATTACAAAATATTATCTTATTTCCATAAGGATGTACAATTTTATCACTAAATTGATGTCAGCCATCTTTAAAGACCAAGGAGAGGGGAGTGTTCATGGTGAAAACTTCCAAACATTTGGCATCATTTGGTATTAACTATGACTTTTCCCTCAATAAATTCCTAATTTGCTGCTTTTTAATAGTTAGTAAGGTAGTTGTTAAGTTTAGGTGTTTGGTAGGATTAGGGATGTAGAATAAGGCATTAATATGTGCTTAATTACTACTAATAAATGGCTAATATTCTAGTAATATGCATGCTAATAAGCCACTAGTTCAGAGACCCTAAAATAAAGTGTTACCCAAGGTTCTTTGCAAACTGTTGCTTCACCATTCCAGTAGCTCAGCTAAAACAGAAATTAATTTCATAAAAATTCTAAATGTGTAAGAATGTGCAATTCTTGAAAAAGTTTTCAAACATTTCCTAAGAGCATCTACTTTATACCCCATAATGACTAAGCAAACCGATCTGTGATAACTTTATGCCAGTCATCGAAATTCTGGTTTTGCGTTCAGAAAGTAAGCAGCTCTGCAATGCCAAAAACACATACCAAGGGTTTCCTCAAGTTCCCTTAGCTCTTGCTCTTGCTGCTGGAGGTCTTGTTGTTTCTGTTTCATCTCAGGACTCTGCAGGTGCTCCAAATGACTGTTATACTCAGACCGGACCTCAGAGGCCTTCTGCATTGCAACACGACACTGCTGCAGTAACTCTGTACACACACAACCAAACATAAGACACAGGGATTACAGACAGTTCCCATCCATGAGACACATCATGTTCCTTCCTAGTGAACTCACATAAGTGTTTTTTAACACTTAAAATTAAAAATTAACAAATCGATATTTCCTCCTCAGTTGATCAATCATGGTACAATAAGACTTTTTTTGTATTATGTAAGTTTTCTGAAATGTTTAAGTATGCAAATGATGCATTATCTAATTAAACATGCACTAATTTTCTAATGAACAAAAAAAACAACTGG